TGTTTCCTGTTTCACAAGACAACTAACTGTCCAGTCAACTGCTTTATATCTCAAGTAGTTTATTTTACTATGACAGTGAAATTTGGGGTGAATCTGAGGAATCGGGCACATAGCTATTACCCCAAGTTTAGCAGCAAACATCAAAGACACACCAATGGGAAAACCAAGTCCATAGTAACTGATGGCATTGAGGACAGCACCAATCTTTTGCTTTCCTGTGCCTCTCAAGACCCCACCGCAGATACCCTAAGGGGAGAAAAACCAAGGCCAGCATTGCAGCCATGCACCTCACATCACAAGTTCAGATAACAGTGCCGACATCCCTCAGGTGTGCACGTGGTCAGGTCACTCTCAAACCAGACACCACACCTCACTTAAGAGATGAAGGAAAACATTCTGTTTCTAAAATTGTGTAAGCAACAGAAAGGGTATAGTTGCTTTCATTACAAAGTTTTCAGATAATCGTATTTAAATATTTGGCTATCTCAGCTATTTAAAAACATTTTGTGGGGGCTGAAGAGCTGGCTCGGCAGTTAAGAGCACTGGCTGATCTTATAGAGGACTCAGGTTAGGTTCCCGGCACCTACAAGGCATCTAACAAATTGTAACTTCAGTTCCACAGATCTGACACCCTCTATTGGCCTCTGTGGGCATTGCATGACACTGGTGCACTCACATACATGCAGGAAATACACTCATACACTTAAAATAATAAAAAAAATAATTTTTTAAAAAGCACGCACTTTTAATTTAAAAGCAAGAAATGTTTTCCATGCACATTACAGTAAAATCACTGAGTACTTACTGCAAGGCACCAAACAGACGAAAAGGAGCAGAAAGAGGCATCACTTTGTGCACACGGAAAATAATATCCCTGTCAAGAAAACAAAGTAGTCCGTGACTAAAACTCAAAAGCCTGGGCTGGTGAGATGGTTCAGAGAGTAAAGGTGCTTGCTGATGACCTGAATTCAATTCCCCGGGACCCACATGGTAGAAGGACAGAACTGACTCCCAAAAGTTGTTCTCTGACCTCCAAAAATGCTGTGGCATATGCACACACTCACCCTTCCCCACATACACAATAAAAGTTTTTGTTTTAAGCCTGACAATTCAGTCCACACGGTACATGTTTTAGAAAGTTAAGTATTACAATAAAACCATACTAATTCAAATTTTATTACAATGTAGAATTGCTGACACAACAGGATTTTTTTTTTTCTTTTCTTTTTCTTTAAAATAAATTATTTATTTAGAGACAAGAGTCTCACTAACTTGCCCAGGCTGGCTTCAAAGTTGTGAACTTGCCTCGGTTTCCTGAATAACTGGAATTGTAGGTCTGTGCCACCAGGTCAGGCTGATGATGATTCATTTTATACAAAAGACAATTTATTTGTACCTAAATAATTATGTGGTGGTGTGACTACATTGTTATGGAAAACACAACACAAATGTAAGATTGAAGATAATTTTTGCAAATTCTGCTTCAGGTGAAGGTGTGGCTGCCATAGCCTGCCCTGGCACATGAGGGGCCTCTCCCAGAATGAGAATAGTCTGCGTTTTTGTTTTTGTTTTTTTTCCATTTTTTAAATTCCAGTCTGATGAGTGGCGTGGGTGCTAAAGAGTGGTGTGGGCTGGAACAAGCTTTCTTAATTCAAAGTTGTTTCCATTCCCTGTTGCTTCCTGGCCACATAACAAGCTTTCCTCTGAAGTGCCACACTCCACTCATAAGCAGAGGAATAAAGTGAAGAAAGAAGCCATAAAAGCAAAGATCGTTTCTCAGCCAGTACCTACTTGCCATTGGTGAATGTGTAGGCAACCACGTCCTTCAAGGCTACCAGCAGAACTCCCACTGCAAGTACACAGACACCTGGGAAATACACAGACACCTGGGCCCAGGTCTCCAGAGTCTCAGGAAGTTTCTCATCAGAGAATTGCATCAGAAATGCATTGCATCAAGAAATAAAGGGTGCGGCTGGACTCCAGGCTGACTTGGGACAGGCTCGGGGTGGCTGGAGCATGCACCTATAGTCCCAGCTACTTGGGAAGCTGAGGCAGCAGGATTGCTTAGACCTGGGACCTGGGAGTTCAAAAAACCAGCCCAGACAATATGGTGATCTTGTCTCAAAAATCAATATTACAATGTAAGTAGTGTTTCATTTTTTACTGTCTAGGAAAAGGCCTATGTGCTGGATAGCTTTAGTTGTCAACTTGTCACACCTGGGTATAGGGAGCCTCAGTTGGTGAACTGCCTCCATTGGACTGGCCTGTGGCCATGTCTGTGCGGTATTTTCTTGATTGTTTAGTGATGTGAGAGGTCCCAGGACAGTGTGGGTGGTGCTACCCCTGGGCAAGTGGGCCTATGTTATATAAGAAATCAGGCTGAGCATGGACCATGGAAGCAAGCCAGTAAGCAGAGTTCCTATGCTTAGCATGGCCTATGCTTCAGCTCCTGCCTCCAGGTTCCTGTCCTGAGTTCCTGCCTTGGCTCCCTCACTGATGAACTGTGACCCGGGAGATGTGAGTCAAATAAACCCTTTCCTCTCCAAGTTAGTATTGGTCAGGGTGTTTTGTCACAGCAATGGAGAAACAAACTAGAACACCTACTAAGACCTGATGATTTTGACTTCTTCTACTAAAGGAAACTGTTACCCACATTTGGAAAAGATCCTCAGTAACATGACAATTACAGTTTGAATGGTTTTTGTTCCTCCAAATCCCAAGGTGTAATTTCAAGTCTAGTGTCACAGTGTTTCCTGTGGGAGGAGACTGGGTCTGCTGTCAAGGCTGAGACTATGTGTCTTATGAAAGGGCTTGGCAGGAGAGCTTGGCCCACCTTTGCCTTTCCTTTTCTTCTTTTAAGACCACATACACCATCAAGCAGATCTTGGAAGCAGGGAAAAAAAAAAAAATCCCTCACCAGACAGCCAGATCTAGACAGCCTGATCTTGAGCTTCCCAGCCCCCAGAGCTGTGTGAAATAAACTTTTGTTCTTTATAAAGATATCCATCTCAGGTACTGTACTGTAGAGTACAGAGTCAGGCATTACACCAAATTCAATACAAATGTCAGGGAAATGCTCACCAGTACACAGCAGAACAGTAGTACAGGAACAACAGGCCTGCTCAGCATTCCCTGCCCCCAGGACATTGCCCACTCAGATGCTGGCAGCCACACCAAAGCCAAAGGGCACCTGGAAATTAGCAGTCATATGTTACAACAAGAACTCCTGGAAATGTGTTAGTACAAAAGGGCCCAACTACGAGGACAGGCCTAGTGATCTAGGTTCTAGAAGATTCTTACTATATATGAGCTGTATGACTAGAAACAAATTGTTCAGCTGCCTTGAAATCTGATTTCTTCACTGGTAAAGAGGTGCAGTGCACCCTTTCACACAGTCCCAGTTCACACAGACAAGAGCAATCCTGAAGAAGCAGGATTGGGGGGGGGTCCTCTGTTGGCTACACAAACAAACATTATTGTAACTTAATTTAAAATATGCTTCACAAGGTAAGATTCAAGTTAATATATATAAGTAATTTATAAAAGTTGAAGGAATCACATAGAAAATCACTTAGAACAAAGTGTGGCATCCTGTGGGACTGAAATTTGACTGCATGACTCTTTATTGACAGTGGAGAGATGAACCATCCATGCTGGTTAATTTCCATCATCAATTTAACAAGAGCTAGAATCACCTAGAAGACCAGTCTCTGGTCACTACTATGGAGGATTATCTTGATTAGGTTGAGGTGGGAAGTTCTGCCCACTGTGTGTAGCATCATTCCCTAGACTGGATTCCTGGAGGTGGGACGTTCTGCCCACTGTGGGTAGCACCATTCCCTAGACTGGGTTCCTGGAGTTGGGAAGTTCTGCCTACTGTGGGTGGCACCATTCCCTATTCTGCCCACTGTGGGTGGCATCATTCCCTAGGCCAGGTTCCTGGAGGTGGGGAGTTCTGCCTATTGAGAGTGACACCATTCCCTAGGCTGGGTTTCTAGACTGTATGAAAAGGAGAAAGAGCTGAAAACAAGCATTCTTCTTTCTCTGCATCTTGACTGTGGATGCCATGTGACCAGTTGCTTCAAGTACAAGGTGACTTTCCTGTGATGGTGGACTATAACCTCAAACTGTGAGCCAAAATAAATCCTTTCTCCCCTAAGCTGCATTTGTCAGAATATTTTATCACAGCAACAGGAAAAATAACTAAGACATTCATTTTCCTGTCAAATAGAATGTGTCCCTTCAAGTAGTACCACAGCTTTACTGTAATTGTTGATTATACAAACCTTGGGCTATGTTTTTGCACTTCTTAAGCAGACCATCACTGAACCTGAAGAGTCATCTCTGGATTCAGGATTATCTTTCAGCCTGGTGCTGCCCTCAGGATATTTGGATAGCATGGGTTATACAGACAGACAGCTCAGGATTAAGCTGTCTGTTTTTGATAATGTAAACATCAGCTTTAACTTCTTACAACAGCCTTCTAATTTGTTCTCATTTTGCAAACTAACTTGGGTTGATAAATGTACATATTAAAATTTTATTAAGAACTTAACAACCAGAACTGAGGAGATGGCTCAGCATGTGAGACAGCTTACTTCACAAACATGTGAACCTCAGTTCAAATTCCCAATATCAAGGAAAAAGCCAGGCATGGCTGTAGGAGCCTGTAACCTCAGCACTATGGTGGACAGGGAGAGGCAGGAGGATTGCTGGAGCTTGCTGGCCACCACTGAAGCTGCAGGTTCAATGAGAGACCATGTTTCAAAGGAATGCAGAAGAGAGTGACAAAGCAGGACACAGGATGCCCTCCTCTGGCCTCCATGAGCACCTGCATATACCCCCCAACTCCCCACACAGAATTTAAAACATGACAGACTTGACTACATAGGAATATGTAATGTTTGCATGCTCCAAGTATGCATAATCATCTTTTATGACTGATATGAAAATGCTACAGTGAAACACATTATTTTATACAACTAATATATACAACACAACATTTTAAAAATAAGCTTCAGACTAAATAGAAGAAAACACTTACAAAATACATATTGAATATTTAGAAAACAGATGAATGTCTAGCTCGCAGGCTTAGCTTCCTTCCTTCCCTGAACACAATTACTAGAAAATGCATCGCCACACTTCACTAAGTACAGACTAACTTGGGACCAGAGTCAGAGGCATTACTTCCCTGGGGTAGAACTATGTGAAACCACAGACCATAATGCACATCAATGGCTGAATTGTGCTCCTCAGGAGAACCCTGTCTTCCTAAAGCTTCCATTTCCACTGAAGCAGGAGATTCAGGGGTGCTTCTGAGGCCCAGGTGGGTCTCCCTCCCACTGCCCCACTACACACAAAAGGCCTGGCTGAAAGAGAAGCTGCCTAGGCTCCCTGCTGCCCAGAATCCAGTCCTTCCTCTTTTGTGGTGGGGGAATGTGGGCATAGGGTGGGGTGGGTTGAAGTGCAGAGATCAGGCCACTGCCTGCTCCTCACTCACAAGTCCGAAATGAAAATGTCACTGACAGTTCCGTCTTTGCACTGGCCTCCCCACTAGCCATGCCCAGAAAGGCTGCTGGAGAAAAGTCTCCAACTAAAGGAACAGGAGTGCCACATCAGCCACTTACTCTCTTTTTCCTTTTCTTTCTCATTCTTCCCTCCCCTCCCCTCCCCTCTATTCCCCTCTTCTCCTCTTCCTTCCTCCCTTCCTTCTTTTTGAGGAAAACTCCCCAAGTAGCCCAGGCTGGCCTCAATTCACAAACCCTGTGCCTCAGCCTCCTCAGCACCAGGGTTGCAGGTGTGCACCTCACACGTGGGCTCATTCTATATATCAGTGTACTCCATCATCTGTGTGTACATAGACTCTGAAGAACACCACTTCTGAAGAAAGCTGAAACACACATCTCTCAAAAAGGACGAAGCTAAGAAAAGGCCAATTGATTTCAGAAACAGTAGCTGACTCAAGGAACAGGAAAGACAGATTAAGGTTCAATTCAGTAATCTCAGAGATATTTAAAGATCCTGCGGCATCAGAAACCCAGGCTTTTATGAAGAAGGGATGGGAAGAGAAAAAAAGGAGTTACTGAAAACTAAAAGCAAAACTTAGAAGCAGCAATTGAAGAAGATAAAATGGCAAAGGCATCATTTATTCTTTATTTAGTGGGGTGAGTGGGTTATACGTGTGCATACACATGGTGTGTGGGTTAGTTGTGTGTGCGTGCACATGTATGGAAGCCAGAGCTCAGCCTTAGATGTTGTTCCTCATGAGAGAATCTCTCATGGGACCTGGGTTCACCATTTAGGCTACATTTGCTAGCTAGGGAGCTCCAGAAATCCGCCTGTCTCCACCTCACTAGCTCTGGGATTACAAGTGCACCGCACCAGGCCCGACTTTGTATGTGGGTTCTGGGGATAGAACTCAGCACTTTACCAATAAGCTATTGCCCCTAAATGAGGTGGGGTGCAACAGCTGGGTAGAAGAGGGACTATGGGCATGGATAACTAACGCTAAAGACCTGTTGAGGGGCTGGAGAGATGGCTCTATGGTAAAGAGCATTGGCTGCTCCCACAGAGGACCTGGGTTTGGTTCCTGACACCCACATGGCAGCTAATAACTGTCTGTAACTCCAGCTCCAGGGGATCTGATGCCCTCTTCTGACCTCTGCTAGCACTTCATGACATGGGCGCACTGACAAACATGCAGGCAATACACTCAGACATAAAATTAAAAATAAATATTTTTAAAAGACCTGTTGAAAAAATTCACATGGAAACCTACTACTACAGAAGCCTCCTAAAATATATCCACACATATGCACATATATAGAAAGAGTTTAAATGGGGTTATCCTATAACAGAGCAAGAATACCCCTACTAGATCCCACAGGCTAGTGAATAAAAAGTCCAGTGCCAGGAATGCGTTATGTCTTTTGGAGTTGTGGTCCAGTGAGTTCCTATAGACCCGAAACATTACAGGCTATTTCTAGTGCTCTTGGTTACCCTCCAGAACTTGATGGTAAGACCCTATCGCTGAAGACAACACATACTTGAGTCACGGGACACAGGACATGGGGAAATCAAGCTGATATTGACCTGGAAGTTTCATCCCTATTAGCTAGCTTTCATAGTGCTGGAAGGAGCTATGCATGCTACCAGAGGAGAAAAGTAATCATCAGTCTTACCCAGTCTTACAACCAGTCTGGCAAGATATGCCCAAGGTATCAGAGTGGTACAAATGCCGAGAGTAAACAAACACATTCTGATTGGCTTTAGGGCCCACTCCACAGGAAGGAAGACATACCTGCACCGTTATTGGGGCTAAGAACCCGAGGCTAAACAGGCTACAGGCCCAATGTAAAACCTACTACTGTTATTCTATAAATGGACATAGTACTGAACCAACTCCTGATGACTCACCGTTCTCCATGTAGATTAGTGCATCTCTCAACCCTCATTAGAGAAGCTTCTTTTTTGCAGTAGATGGTGATTACCACAGAGAGCCACAACTGGACAAGGCACAGAGAAAGAGACTGTGGAGTGCTCAGCCCTAAATGAGAAATCCATATCACTCCCTCTTCTCCAGAGGCTCAGGGATCGTTGTGGAAGAGGGGCAGAAAGACTGTACGAGCCAGGGGTGGTGGATGGCTACAAGAAAACAGGGCAGTTGCACATATGGTCTCACAGTAGTTGTGACAACATGCACAGACCTGTGGAAGCACACATCAGAAAAAAGTCCCAGTATGAAGGGGGAAAGTGGGCAAGAAATCCCACCCCAAGCTGAGGAACTATTGGCGATCAGTAGCTGCTGGGGAAGGGAGATTCGGTTTTCTTCAGGAGTGTGGTCTCTGGTAGGTTGACCGTGCTCCAGTGGATGTACACACGACCAAGTGTTATGGGCAGCCCAAACTGGATTTGATGATTTAAAAAGGAAAATGAGGTCATACAGTTGGGTGGGTAGGGAAGAGGGGTAGATCTTGGAGGAATGGGAGGGTGAATGTGATCAAAATACAATATATGAAGTTTTCAAAGAAGTAATACAAATTTTTTTTTAATTCAAAAAAGCCAAAGGCAAGAAGATAAATCCAGGTGAGCCTCTGCTGGACAGGACGTTTTAGAAGAAAGAACATGAAAAAATTACAGAAGTGGGAGAAAGAACAGTTCAAAAATTTTCCAGAGCAGAGGAGCACA